TCAGCGGATGTCTGTAGAGGGAGCTGTCAGCAGGATCATCCAGGGAACATGGAACTTGGAAAGCTCTTCCCCTCCACCCTAAGCTCAGGTACAAGTATCTAAAGAAATTACTTTAAACCAGTTTCATGCAATTTAAGAGTGAATTTTGCGCTGCTGGAACCCGCTGAGTCCCTGATAAACAGCCCCGGGGTGTGTTATCCTCTGACAACAGCTGCTTTAGCTTACAACTCATATTGTATACCTGATATCCAACTAGGCTAGCAGCAAGGAGTCATATGGTGCCATTCAACACACACTTTGAAGAGCTTGCTGGACAAAGCAAGGCGAAATGGGAGATTCAAATCTCACAAAGGACAAGTTAGCTCCAAAAGGGTGCATGAGAAGAAATAAGCAGCTTTTAGTTAGCTTGAACTAACCGTAAAGAATGCAATTGTCATTTGACAGGATTCTATTTCAGCTGGTCATGCATCTAGAGAGAAGCTGGTATCTTTTATAGGAATGTGGGGTGAAAGGGAGGCAGCCAGAACCTACTGTATGATTGTTTTCCGGTTACTTTCCAGGCAGCTTCTGAGCTCTTCCAGAATTTTGCAGCACTTGGCAATGTCAGGAGCGTCCCCATCAGGAATAGGATAGTGGTGCACACGGATCCCATGCTGTTGATAGGTGTCTATAAGGTTTGGTACTCGGTATTTTAAGAGCTCTCCTCTGGTACAAAGCACAAATATATCCTGGGTCCCATAGTTCTTTAGTTCTTCTGCCAACAGATTAAGACACTTGCAAATAAACAAAAGCTTATCAAGCTTAATGATAAACAGATAAGCTACTTGGTACTGATGCTCTTGCTTAATCTTCGAGGTTAAGACAACAGGCGTTAGCAATTTTGCTTTAAGCAGCATTTACTTCTACAGAATCTCTCCCACATTTGCCTTCAGGCAACCCATGAGAAGAATTTTCCCAGTTCAGAGTCTTGAGACAAGCCTCACTAGAAAGCAAGCGAGCACTCAGAACAGTCTGTTAACTGCTGCCAGCTTAAGCATGATTCTGTCCCACCTCCAGCTGTGACTATGTCCAAACACTGTAGGTTTTTGCTATTAGTCTGCTCTACGAGTGTTTACAGATTAATATTAGGCACAAATCTTTACATGATGTCATCTTTTCTATCCCAATCTCACTTTTCTCTGCAAAAAGGAGATTACAAGTTTGTAATTCTACTTGGTCCTAGCTGCTTTGAAGAGGCCTTCTGCACGGGATTTAGCAGAGCTCATAGTTACTGTGAAAGATACACAGATGCCTGTATAGCTCCAGCCTGGAAATACCTTGACTACTTACTCAGTATTTAGTAGAGAAGCCACAGAGAAAGTGGCACTGCACACTTGAAAGCGATATCTAGTACTCGTAACAGTGACTGTGCTAAGGTATTTGCTGCACCTCCAAGCACAGTGTAACCAAAACTCAGATAGAAATCGCTGTCAGACATACACCCAGCAAGACTTTGTAAAGAACTGCCCTGCTTTCTAACATCATGGCATGTTAGACAGACAACTATAGCATCCATTATAGAAGTACGAATAAACACCACCACCTCTCAAAGTCCAGCCATGCTTTAGATACCCGGCATCTGGATCCTTACGCTCAAATTAGATAAACAGCAACTCCAGCAGTCTCCAGACTAAGACAAGGTAAACCTCTAGGCCGTTAGTAACTTATGCTTTCCGTTTACCTGCCATTGTTCTTGCCCGTTACATGGAAGTGAGAGGCACTTTACACTGGCCAGAAGACTCACCTATATCTTTCTGAAGATTTCTTCTAACATCCTTAAACCTGCAACCTAAAACAAATTATGAATGACAATTACCTCTCCAGGTAAGTGACATTTATGGAATGGCTGCTACAGCTGAAGAATAGAGCACAGACAACCTCCCACCAAAACCAAAGCAAACAACAAAGCCACAACCCAAATAAAACACAGTTCTTATTTTTGCAAATAGATCACTAGCGCAGAAGACAGTTTAAACACCATTATCTGCTTAATACTGTAATGTAATAGGATTAAAAAAAATCCTGCCCAAGGTTTTAAGCTGCTGTGCATTTTCCAGATGAAAAGTTTTGGATATTAAAAACCAGGGTGCAGCTTAAAAAAACCCCACAAAACACAAAACCAAATACCCAACAAATAAAAGGGCTGGACAGAGATCACTTAAGACTTGTCTGGTTGACTGCTGGGAAAATAAATTCCCTATTCTGTAATACTCAGCACAAATCACATTAAAAATCCTCCTTACTATTCAATCTTCAGCATTTCGCCACTTCCATTTTTTCCTCAGATGATGCTACCAAGGCATTTTTGCAACCCCTACAGAATACTGCACTGTGATATTCACAGCTATTGTTTGGTTTCTGAGATGTAATTGCTCAAAATATTTGCACTGTGTCCTCCCTCTGTCTCCCCTCCTTCACTCACAGCCCCGTAGGCACACAATCCTTACACCTGCCCTGACAACAGTCATGATTGTGCATATCCTGAACCACCTTTTAAAAGCATGAGAGCAGAATCCTGCAGACCAAGAGCTGTATCGGCAGGGCTACGGCTGGAGGTTGGCATCTGAAGATTAAACAGCTATTACATGAACAGCTCAGGTAGCTAAAAAACATAATGCAGCTATTTTTTAGCATATGTGTGTTAACCGGCCTTCAAGCATTACTGGGATTTTCATCAGCACTTCAAGATAGCTTAAATTCAAATATTATTCAACATTTATTTCCTAGTTCTCTAGTGTGGTATTAGTCCCAAGCTTGTATTTCTCAGAGTTGGTTAATGAAAGTCGAGTAATTACTTTAAATGAAGTAGAGAAAGTTCATATTGTCAACACCAGCAGTTCTATCATCTCTTTTGTGATCACAGAAGATTCACCATGGCTGCAGTTTTGGCAGTTAAAAATACAGTGAAAACTTAAATGTTTATTTTTATATCACGGCCACGGTAGTGCAACCCAGATACTAAGGGAGAGCGGTACAGAACTGTCAGCACAGAGAGTGAGTGTAATTTGAGCCCGACATATCTTATAAAGGAATTATTTGTCAAAGCAGCCTTGTTTCACTGTTGTTGCTTGTTATAAATAGTAAGCCAGGCTAAAAAGCCAAATATTTTAACTGACAATGGAAGACGGCCACTATTCTCTTACCACCCTGCCATATGATTTTGCATTAAGATATTCTCTAGATTAGCTTTGGTATTTCTGAAACAATTATTCCAGAGGTAGATTACAAAACAAGTCACCCCACCAATGGAATACAGAATTTTGGGGTACAAGATATTACCTCTCTTCAGCTTCAAGCATGCCTGCAAATTTCAGTGAATGCTTCTTACCTGGAAGGGAACATAATCCCAGGAACTCAGAAGAGTACACAGGAGACAAAGACAACCTATCAGAAAATAAAAAATAAAATTAAAAAAAATCAGAAGAGAACATTTTGATGATTTGAATAGAGATAACTCACTACTAAACATTCCTTTTCTGTGGGACCATGAGAAGAGTTACCTACCTATAATTCAATTTTAAAAATAAAATGGAAGTATTCCAGTGTTATTTCTACAACATCAGACAGGGGAATCACGTTTGTCCTTCATCACATACCCCTACCCAAGAGGAGGAGAGGAAGCGTTGACAAATCCCCGCCTCAGCACCGAGACACTGGGGCTAGCACGACCGACAGTGACCGGTAAACGCTTCCAAAAGCGGACCTGGCGCCACATCCACTGACCGTTCGCCAGCACTAACTTAAATCCCTTTTCAGGGGCACCGCCAGGCCAAGCACAACCTCCCTCCTCGCTCTGGCAGCTCACCAGAGCCCGGCGCGTGTTTCCTTCAGAAAAAAACTCCAGGAGCGGGATTTAACGCAAACGCCCGCCTACTTTCTGAGGGAAAAGACACCCGCGCCCGCTCCGGGGCGCGTCTCACCAGGAGATGGGGAGCGGCCTCAGGTCCTCCTC